CAGGACGTTAGTAAGATCATTTGCATGGATGCAACATTATCAATTTACTCAAACTGCAATGTGTGATCTGTTAGTTTTATTCTACAGCAGATGACAGGCTGATCCTAGCGGTAGAAGCATGATAAGTGAACAATCTAATCATTTGTAGTTATACCCGAAGCAGAAACCCCTTATGAAGGCAGAAGCCGAAACGTGTTGGGTTTAAATAAAAGCAATTTATATTTGAAGACCATTCTCTCGAGTGCAATTTATATATCAATATTCAGGGCCGTAGCCAGAACAAAATAAGGACTGAGGCAATACCCATGGATGATCATGAATTCTCCGCCTAGTTAGTTAGGGTCTTTATGATGACTACGTTTAAGCAAAACACTGGCATCAAACCTTATTTGGCAAAATATCCGCGAAGAGCCCTAAAGGCCATCTACATCTAGACGTCTAGGTGATTTTTTTTTTTTTTTTTTTTTTTGCAGGGGGGGGCTATTTAAATGCTACTTTATGGGCTCTGGGTTCTTGTATTCGGCTGTTTAATGTGTTTGTTGGGGGTTTGTTTTTATACTGAGGAAGGCCTTAGATAACAACGACCTAAGCCAGGTTTGGCTGACAGCGGTTTCGTGAAAACAAGGGATTGTTGTGGGTGCTTAGTCTCGCAGGCTCAGAAAAAACCTGGTCTCGGCCGTTCTTATTTAAGGATTATCGTTTCTGAACAACGAAAATGCCTACTACTAGCATCCCTTCGTTCAGTGTAAAACTTCGAGCGGAGCCACAGGGACTAGTTTCGCTGTGGACGTCGGTTAATGCAAGGCCATTCAGCCTGTTAGAGCCCATCGATAAACGACACCAGGTCTTCAACCTGCGGAGAGCGCTAAAGCTGCGCTCGCACGAACAGCTTCCTGCTGTTGATAGAACGCTGCATTTTGATAGACTTTTCTCACTCAGACCAGAGAAGAAAGAAGACGAGGGAAATGACGGCAAAACACATGAAAACGAGGCAATTTCTTAGGGAAGCAGCTCCCTGGTTAACATAAATTATATAAAGGATATTACAATATTGTTTTTGCCACGAGAAAATAAAATTCATATCTTCAAGCTGCCGTGTAATGTTCTTTTTATTATATAGACAAAATGAAATCGATAAAATAATAGAGGGAAATTACCAAAATTACGTCATCGATAAACTCACGAGTGAGATTATGGATAATAAACCACTCGGGTCCCGGATTTAGTTTTTATGAATTTTACGAGTGGTATATTTTCCAGTAAAACACTCGTGTCTATATAATAAATAATTATATATCTCTCTAAATTTATGAAAAGGTACCTACAGAATTTTCAAGTGCGTTTTAACAATTTGACCCTTGTGGTGAATAAAAACAACAGTTGAAAGTCGCTAGTTAGGGCTTAAAAAGGACAAATTAATCGCTAGAAACACACGAAAAGTCGCTCCCGGCTAAAGCGCCAGATTTGTAACGAAATGAACAACATTTAAAAGCACCGGAATTATGACCTTTCAGTCTCGCAAACTATGAGGCTTATAGCGAGATGCCCGACTAAAACAGACCTAGAATTCACCTTTCTTGAGCCCAGAATCGGTTGTCTAAGACAAAATTACTTCGACTAAACACTCACGAAGCCTTTTTATATTCTAATAACACGAGCACCACAACATACCTGAATTCTGTATGAATTCTGTCTGTCAACGATTTCAGGAAATCACTGATAAAACTATAAAAAACTGATAAAACTATAAAACTGGCACTGATAAAACTATCCACAACTAACCAGCTACAATGTTTCCAAACTTAATACGAGCGAAATATCATCAAATTACTCTAGCTCAATAACTCTCGCTTTCTCCATTAAATCATCACATGCAAGCTTTCCTGACGCAGTGGATTTATTCAAGATCCCGGATGTCGAAGAACCGTTTTGAAAGAAACACATAGAGGCCGACCGTCGAAACAATTCTTAACTAAGTGTCTGACCAGCAAGGTCAGAAATCAGCATCAGTTTTGCTCTCGCCGAATAGATTTGACTCCTAAGGAACTACTTTTTGAGGCCAGAGACTTGAATTTCATGCCTTTTGCCATTCATTAATTAAGAAACTCCGCTGGCTATGAAAAACATACCAGGCACACTTAGCATCGATTTCGCGTGTTTACAAATATCTCCTTTCGAAACAGTGATTTTATACAGTTTCTGGGCCATTCCTCTAAATAAAATTGGCAAACATGTACGGATGAAACATTTTCCTGATAGAAACGCCAAGCATGCTCGACTTGTCAACGACTTGTCAGTGTCGGCAACTTCAACTAAACCCGTTGTCAACGCAAATTAACATCTATTGTCTAATGACCAATCCAACGCATGCGTTGCTGGTACAACGTGCTCCTTGAGCGCGAGCTACAGTGATGTTATTACAGTCCCTCTCCGACACCCGTCCCCTCAGGACATTTGAAAATCAAGATGGCCGCCATTAACGGTAAGACGCGCTATATTTCGACGATCTCATGAAAAAATTTTGGACTGTGAACAGTCTAAATGTGATAGTGTTTGGAAATGATGGGAAGGGGAGGGGGGAGGTGGGGAAAAGATGTAAACAGCATTATAAACCGACCCACTTTTTAGGTTGTTTTTTTATTTTTATTTATTTTTTTTTTTACTAAAAACATCGAAGAAAAGAAAAAAAAAATCGTCAAGTACTGAACAAGCTTCAAATGAGGCTGTTGCTAAAAAATCCTGCAGGTACCCTTTTGCAAATCCAAACAGTATATATATATATATACAGTTTCACTCACCGTAAAAGTAAAGGAGAAAGGTAAGCCTGCATCATTTTATAAAGATCGTTAGAGTGTTTTTTGTAAAGCACCACTGTCTGTTAATAATGTAATCAATCAGTAAAGTCGGCAGGGGATTTCCTTTGAAAAGCTCAAGAGGGCTTGCTGAGATCTCCTGCTCATATATACCACCAAATATTTACACAAACTAAAGGTAGAGATCATCTCGACATAAAAGACAATGCGATATCGTAATTGCGCCATGAAGAGGTAAGACATTATGATTTAATTAATTAAATTTTAATTTTAATTAATTAAACTTAATCAAGTTCCAGATTTACCATTACCATGACAATGAAATCAATCAATCGCTCAATCTGAGGTAGGCTTAAAACAGAGTAAAAGATTCCTTAAAAATGAGCCACCTATTATTACATCACAATAGATATAGAGAATTAATTAAGTAATAAAATTATCTAAAGCGTTATTTTAAAAAGTATTATTAAAAAATTACGGAAGACATGAGATAAAAAATAAAAATTCAATAAAAATTACCATAAATGGACCAATGATTAGGTAAATTACATGTAAAATTAGAAAAAAAATTACATTAAACTTATCATAATAAAAGGCCATCAAATTCTTACGAAAGATTGACAACATATTTGACTCTCTTAAACTAAGAGGTAATTCATTCAATAGGCGACAGATCCGAACAAAAAAAGAATTCTTAAAGACGTCAGTCCTGCTGAAAGGGACATCAAGCGTTAAATGATCAACATTCCTAAGCGCTTCTGGGTGTCACTATTTATATTGACCTCAATTTCGACGAACATATGTCTGAGCTTATTCGCAATGTCAGTAAGCAACTACAAGTGTTAAAGCGCCATAAACATCTCATTTCATACGCTTGTATGATGCCCTTCTTCTCTCCTGCCTCTCCTACTGCCCAATTATTTGGCATTATTGTGGCAAAAGAAACAGTGACAAACTTGAGAGGATCAACGAGAGCTACTTGCGTTTTATTTTTAATGAATATCATAGTTCATATGACAAACTTCTAAATAACATCAATCCGCCTAGCCTGCACAATCGTAGAATACATGATATGTTAACTCTTGTATATAAGTCTTTTCACGGTTTGGCCCCTAGTTATATTAACGAGTTACTGAGGGAAAGAAATTCTTCTAACAATTTGTGTGGCAAACACTCTCTTAGTATTCCCAGAGTTCAATCGACCAAATATGGTTTGCACTCCTTTCCCTACTCTGCCAGCAAATATTGGAATATGTTCCCAGAGGTACTTAGAACTGCTGAATCATTACATGTTTTCAAATCAAAAGTTAAGAGCATTAGCTTTGATAATAAATGCTGCTCCTTTTGTAATTAGTTTTAATTATCACTAGTTACTGTACTCACAATGTATATAATAATTTTGTTGTTTCTAAATTATCTTAAACTTGTACATAATATATAGTATTACTTTATTCTAATTACCTTTCTCAATTTTTTCTATTTGTTTTTGCTTTACCTTCGGAGATATTAGCATTACTGATGCTATCTTTTTGAAATTCGAAGTGAAATAAAGTTTTTTTTGATTTGATTGATTTGATTTGGTACAAGTGTGAAAAGATACATAATCGAAAATGTTTAACTTATACATATTCTTAAGACACTTGAAAAAGCAAACTAATTAATCATTAATTTCTCTGCGATACTTCAAAGGTAATGAATTTATCTTACTAACTAAAGGCGCTCATACTCAGAATAATCCCTTCCAAGAATGATTCTTGTAGCCCTGCGTTGAACTTGTTCAAAATTGTTGATGTTTCGTTTCTAAGTTGATCGAAGTTGTTGCCGTAAACTAACACTTGGAAATCCACTATTGTGTTGCAAAAAGAACGACTGTTCAACAATGCACAGTTCAACCTTGAATTGCTCATGGTGTAACTTGAGCTTAAATCAGTGGGGCCAGGATTTAGCTGGACATCTCCCCTTAGTACTAGCCGTAGTTGGTGGAAAGAGCCAACCTGAGTTAGGATACTTGATAACTAACTCTGGAGGAAACGAGGCGCGCTGACAACAAGATAGCGTCGTAAACCTTTCGATGATGACAAGGGAAGTTGTCTAAAATTCTGTCAAGTACGTAACTTCATGACCAGAGATGAAAGGACCGTGAGAACTTAAGAATAGATGACTTAAGACGTTCCAAGACACAATATA